CATAATTAGGGCACTTTTCCCCTTTTTCAAATATCAACCCTAGGGCTCAATTTCATCAATTTAACAATAATAATTCCATTTTTCAAGGTCTCACATACACATAGAGTTTAACAATTGAAAACCCCCCTTTTTATAACTTCAAAACAAACCCTAACTTTCCCAAAATTTCCATAATTCACCATTTATACAAAATGACTAAAATCTATGTCAAAACTCATAAGAAGGAGTAGGGTATCCCTACCTCAAATGAAGAGACTCAATGGAGAAGATGAAGAAAACTCAAGATGCTCCAAACCCAATGATTTTCGGATCAAAACGTAGCCCACACCAAGCTCCACACTTTTTACAAAGGGACTAAAGTAGACACACCCAAGAACCAAGTGTGTTTCTAGAGAGAAGGTGTATTTAGAGAGAGAGAGAGTCAGATCTAGGGTTTGAAAGAAGAAGAGAGTGAAAAAGTGTATAAAAAACACGCTGCTGCGAACTGATATACTCGAGGCTCGCTTGAGCGAAGGATTGGGCGCTCGAGCGACCAGACACAGATGGACCTCGCTCGAGCGCAGAAAGCCTCGCTCGAGCCAATAACACGAAGCTTCAGGTCTACAACCCAGAAGCACGCTCGAGCGCAGGAGTCCTCGCTGGAACGAAGAAACCCAAAACATACAGCTCACTCGCTCGAGCCAAGAAACACAACCTTCAGGTCCAAACTAGACCCAGACGCACGCTCGAGTGCAAGACCTCTCGCTCGAGCGAAGAGACACACCAGACCAAGCTTGCTCGAGCGAAGAAAAGCTCGCTCGAGCCAAAGCTGTGTCTGAAAAGAAAACCTGAAAACCCACAAAACTCGCTCGAGCGTACAAACCCTCGCTCGAGCAAAGAAGCAAAAACACACATCTCGCTCGAGCGACAAAGTCCTCGCTCGAGCGAAAAGACCAAAAACTGGACAGCAACCATTTATTTTAAAACACACCCAACCTGTTACAAATCTGCCCAACATTTTAAAACTCAAATACAAAGAATTAAAGGACGAAAATGCAACATATACAACAACAGACATCCACGGAACCGAGTCCGGAATACAATAACCAACGGAGGAAAAATCGGGATCGCTATAGTAATGGCTTAAAACTTGGTTTTGAAACTTGAATTGCAATTTTGGGGATGGAATTCCTTAAGGGGGGAGGTTATAGCGTTTTCGGTTTAGAGCCGACCCGTTTTGTATTTTGGACTCGGATTTCGTAGCCTCGTATGGTTGTTTATGTCTTTTCCTTCTTATTCTTCTTTAAATTTGGTTATTGGATTGTATTGGTTTTGTTTGGAACAGGTTAATTGCTTGATTTTCGAACCTTTGTTGCCTAGATTTTTACTCTTTCTCTTGAGCGGCACTTCTTGCGCTCGAGCGGGTTTTGCAAACTCTCAATATTTTTGCAGACCTACAAAATACTGGAAGAGTGTATTCCACGCTTGAGCAACGTTTTCTATGCTCGAGCGGGTGGACGCTCGAGCGGCTAATCTTGAGCTCGAGCGATATCTTTCGTCTTCAAAACTTCTGAAAGTGTGTATTTTGCGCTTGAACGTTACTTCTTGCGCTCGAGCAAAACTATGTGTCTGGCGCTCGAGCGTCACTTCTTGCGCTCAAGTGGATGGCGTGTATATCAGTTCATGAAGACGACTTTTTAGTTCACTTTTTCATTCCTCTCTCTCTTAAAAACTTTCCAAAACCTAGATCTTAAGTCTCTTTCTCTAAAACTCACATTCTCTCTACATTTTTATCTAGATCCATTGGGTTCTCCACTCTAGTGCCTTTGAGAAAAATTTAGAGCATTCCTAGAGATCCGTTTTGATCCAATTGAAACTTGGTTTCGGTGTCTTTGAAATTTTCACCTTGCTTTGCTTGTCTCTTAACTTTGAGGTAGGAATTTTCTACACATTTTTTATGGATTTTAACTTAGTTATTGGTTGTTGTGTAACAATGATAGGTTTTGGGCGTATTTTGAACAAACCTAAGGTTTGGGTGTAAAATCAAAAGAAGGGTTTCTAGTAAATGTAATATGAATAGCCATGGGGTTTGAAAATGAGGTTACATTTGCATCATAATTGTTGATTTTGGGATTTGGGTTGGTATTTGGGAAAGAGATAAGCTAATCTAAAATGGTTCAAGTATTTATTTTGTATAAATAAATGAAATTGGTATTATAAATATGAAATTGGATGAATGTTGGTGTTAATGGTGGAGTTGGATATGCATTATCTCATACCTTCTGAAAATTTGTATAAACTATCTGTCTTTAGATTTAATATCTGTTTAGAAATATTTATATTGGGCTATCGGTGAAGGATAACTATGATTGTTGTAGAAATTGCATGAGGATTAAGTAAATTGAAACTAATCTCTTGTTGATTGTCATTGAATATGACTAAGTTTTAAATACATTATACATGTATGATTGTTTGAGAGAAGAAATAGGATGTATTCCATTGTTTGGGTGATGGAAGGGGATGTACTCCATTGTTTGGGAGGAGATAGGTGATGGACTCCATTGAACTAAGTTGGCTTGTGTGTCTTGGGTGATAGTCCCGAAACCGCGCGTATACATGGGTGCCGATCCTGTGGACGAAATTTTCGTAAAATAGCAAATTGAAGTGATTGTGTGATAATTATGTTAATTTGGGAACCACTGAGTTGTAGTATCAGATGGGTTGTTTGAAAGATAATGAAATTGGCTCATGAATTGAGATGAAATGATTTAGTTTGAGCTGATGAAAAGGAAAAAAGGATTGAGTTATGAAATTTGGTACTTTATGATGATATAAAATATAAATATTTTCTCACTAGTATTATAAATGCACATTGTACTTATATTTTTGTTAAAGTCCATATACTGTGTTAGATTGTTCCTACTGGCTTTGGTTCACCCTATTTGGGAAAATCATTTTCAAGTATTGATGTTATGTCTCCGCTAAGGTAGTAGCTCGGAAGGAGTTTGGAGCACAGGCTCCACTTTTGTACTTATTTGTATAGCCAATGGCTTAAATTGTATACAGTTAGACTCTCTTTTGTTGTAACCAAATAATGGCTTGAAAAGTTGTAAGCCTTTAGGGCATATAATTATCTATTTAACTTTCATTCCTCTTTAGCATTTGTAACACATGCTGTAAATTCAGAATGAATTATTTATGAATGTTCATAGCATGTGCCATTTTTGTATAACAATTCAAATTAATGGAAGTTTATTATTTTGATTGCGTTGTCTTACGTATTTTGTGTTGGGTCGGATTATTATAATTATTTCGGGGTGTTACATAGAGAGGTTGTAGGGGTTTTGATGGTGGTTGGGTTTCAGTGATGGTGGCTGGGCGTGAAAGTAGACAGCGGAGACTGATAGCAAGTAGTGGTGCCCAAAAGAGTCTAAGGTCAGAATTATATCCAAAATGGTAATTTGATAAAGGGATATAAGTGTAATAAAAAAATTTATGGAAATGGTATGTGCTGAGAAGTTTTGTGATGTGTAAATAGAATTACCCCCCAAAACCAAACAGTAAGGGTAAAATTGATGAAATTAGAAGTATAACGACCAAAATAAAATCACGGGTAAACTATAGGGACCATTTCTATAATTTACCCAAACTTTATTGTGAAATTTTAACATTTAAATAGTGAAATATCATCACCATCATTAAGCACCATAGTCAGTATAATTGTTATCACCTCTAGCAAAAATGCTACTTAAAAATATTATCAAAACAAGGAAATGATAGCGTTAATACAGTAAAATTTTACTGTTAATTTAAAACAGAGTATCAACAAACTAAAATAAAATTTTATTGTCACTTTTAAATAAAGCATAACAAACAAAATATAGGCTACATATTACCATAACAAAATAAATATATACATTGAACAATTTCAATCATTAAGATGAGTCCGAATTAGGGTTCACCATGAGCCAATAGCACAATTCAGTTCGATTGCAAAAACCAGAGATAAGTCCCACCCTTAAATTAATTAACGATAAATTACACTTACCTCCCTTAAAGTTTAGAGAAAATACAATTAGTTCAACACTTTTGGCATAATTACAGTAGCATTCCTCAAAATTTTATTTCACACAACACTTAGGTCCTTTTTCATAGGTAATTCAAGAGTTGTATTGATAAATAAATAATATTCTCATATTCTTTCTACTAAAGTGTATATTTACTATTATTTATTTTATTGTCTACTTTCTGATTTTATTAGTTTTGATCACTTTAATTTCACTAAAAGAAAAATTAGTATAATCATTTCAAACTTGTGGAATTTATAATTATCAATTTTTAATTAGGCACTCAGGCAATAAATTTATTTCTTAATCTTTTGTACCATTAGGCCTAAACTCTAATCTCTTTAGGTTAAAAATACACAATTTATTCAAAAGGAAAACTATCTATTAAAATTAATATATCTGTCTATCTATTAAAATTACGCAATTTATCTATCTATTGAAATTCACTAAACTAATTTTTTTATTTTAAAGGACATTTTTGACCAATTTTCTAGTGACTTTTTTCTACGAGGGAAAAATTTTTCATCAATAAACCAGCTTATAAACTTACGACAATGTTACGTAACTCAAATTTTGTGGCTCAAAAGTGGCTCAAATGGCCAAAACGACGTCGTTTTGAGTACATAATAACATAAAAATAGCCGAAACGACGTCGTTTTGACCATTTGAGCCACTTTTGAGCCACAAAATTTGAGTTACGAGACATTTTCCATAAACTTATTGCCAAGAGAGACTTAAATTGAATTTTTTTATCAATTATTTTTTTTATTTTGTTTTAAATTTGTAATTAAAAACTAAAAAACGGACAAGTGCCGTTCCGTCATTGCACTTTCTTTCCAGGCACCAAGCCCCATTTGCCATTTAAAAAGACTCTCCGGACACGTGCTAAGACCCGCAATTCCAGCAAAAAAATAAACCAAAGTATTCCTGTGGCTCTTTCGTAATTGTTTCTTCATTTTCAGGTAAACATAACCTCTTTTCTGTATTTAGTTCACCAGCCTGCCTAACCAACCTCAATTTTATTTGACTACAAGTTCCTTCGTCATCATCAAAACCACTTCAACCGGTTCAATCCCCGGTTCGCCCCTGAAACTCTCCGGTTTTCGACAATCTAAGCCCGGTTCAACGACCGCGTAGTTGTTCTCCGGTCGCCGGAATATTGTGATTGGTGGAAAGTGGCGAGGAGGAGAGTGGTATGACGTCGGGGACGAGGCTTCCGACATGGAAGGAGAGAGAGAACAACAAGAGGAGAGAGAGGCGGAGGAGAGCGATCGCTGCGAAGATCTATGCGGGCTTGAGGATGTACGGCAATTACAAGCTTCCCAAGCACTGTGATAACAACGAGGTCTTGAAAGCTCTCTGTAGAGAAGCTGGTTGGATCGTCGAAGAAGATGGCACTACCTACAGAAAGGTAATTCTCTCTCTCTCTCTCTCTCTCTATTCAGCTCTCTCTCTGGTTCTGGTTTTGAACTGCGCACGTTAGAAACGGATCAATTGTAGAAGATAAAACGCGCCGTTGTAAGTAGATCTGAATCTCGTCTTGATTTTTGAGTAATTTGATAAATTTTAACATCTTATCGAGTAGCCAAATCTGGTGAAGAATTGCGGTTTTTTGTTCTGTTCCTATTTTTCGTGTGCTCCTATGTGTGTTCATTCGGCGTATGCTAACAAAGGAAAGGATCGCTAATTGTTTATAATAATTTAAATAATTTTTAATGTGTCTAGCTCATCGAGGAATCTGGCAGAGAATTATACTTTGGGGTGATTGCTAGCGTGCGCAGTGATCGCTAAATGTTTTTTTTCTAGTAATTTAATAATTTTTAACATCTTTAGCTCATCGAGTAAGGAAATCTGGTAGAGAATTGAGATTTGGGATGAGTGCTAAATTGCACCGTGTTCATTCGGCGTATGCTAGCTAACGTGCGCCGTGTTCAGTCGGTCTCCGTTTCTCTCTCTAGATCGGGTAGGTCGCTTTTTTTTTTTTGGACGGTTCAGATTGTCTGGTTAATTGTTCTTCCTGGCGTACGATAGATTAGATCGCCTTCAGACTCTGATTTTTCATTGAACGCACGAAACACGAAAGATTCTCACTTTCAGTAAAAAAATGTGAAAGAACCCAAAGCATTGAACTCTGCAGTTTGCTTTGCAGCAACTAATGTTAAATTAATATTTTTACAGTTTGTCAATCTCTCTGTCTCTCTGTTCACTGCTCTGTTCCTGTTCAAGCATCTTCTTGGAATTCTTTGCGTTTCCCAAATTACCCTAGACCAACATCTGAATCTTGATCATCTTATAGGTTGATTTAGGAGTGTCATGATGAGAATGATGAGAAGATGGTTAAAAGTTATTTTTTGATTTTTTTTTTTTTTAACTTTTTGTGTGAGAAGAAAGTGAATTAAAAGATGGAAAGTAGCTTAATCTACTTTCCAAACTAGGCCTTAGTAATTAAATTTTTTTTAAAAAAAGTTTGGTAGGAAGTACTATTTTTCCAACTCAAACTGGTGGGAAGTACTATTCCTTTGTTGTTTACCATTGATTTTTGTGTTTATTATTTGATTAAGGCACTATTGGGTATAAACTAACTAATAAGTGCATTTATTTAGATAAGTACATTTATTTGGGTCACATTATCTCTGTATTTTTTTTGTACATTTTTTCATAAAAATTAAAAAAATATAGTTATTTAAATCATTCTAAACACCCCTAAAGAAATAGGAGATCAAATCTTTGGATTCCCTTTTTATTTTTTTTCATATTGTTTGTTTAAGTAGCAAAACTTTGTGGGGTTTTATTAAAGGGAAATGTAATGACCACTCAAGGGATAGTCATTAGTTTCAATGTGTGTATATTGTATAAAAATTGTGTAAAATGTATAGAAATGTACGAAAGTGTTTGGTAATGTATGTAAATGGAGCACCGTTTGGCTTTCGTTAGCGTGACTCTTACATTACATGGATTCGGGTACAAGTATCGGTGGGGATATGTATCTAGAGTCGGACTTGGCAAAACCTCTAAATGAGGGTTAAATATTATGTATTTTTTTGATAAAGTTACAATAATTTATTGCTCTCGATGATTACACATTTTGATCTCTCCAAGGATATTGTTTTTGGACCAATACGATCTTTTCATGTCCAATTTCATAAGATTATTTTTAAAATTAGACTTAAATGTTTTTTTTCTAAATTTTTCTTATTGGACTGAGCTTTTGTTTTGGACTAAAAGTGAATGAAGTAATGAATCCAATATTCATTCCCCGCAGAGAGTAGCCTACAAAATTAATATAATATAAAATTTGTACTAAAACCAACAAACCATGGTTTTGGCAGCCCTAGTTTTGAATATAGAGTACCAACACATGGTTTAAGCTCTTTCGTTAGAGAACAGTCGACTCTCCCAACTCCAATCTCGCATCATCGATGGCTTTTCTCGGCACCATCCCAGCTCCAATCTCGTGTCACCGATAGCTTTTCTTGACAAGAGGGTGTGGTCGAGTGCAGGATAATGGGTAATGGACTCTCACAGTCGCCGTCGCCAGTCAACTCTCACCATCTTGTATGTTGTAAGTAACTCAACAATCCTTCACTGTCTCTCATCCTAGCCGGATCCGCTTGTATTTAGCTATATCCCGGCTGTATTCTGCATCCATACCTGTGTTGTGTTGGCATGGGTACCTCTCCAAAAACAAAGAGTCCGTGTAACGTAGCGTGACCTTATTAAATGGAGCATGATCTGTTCCTATTTTTCGTGTGCTCCTATGTCAAACACTCTCTTTATTACATGATGTACCATATTTTAATTAAATAATTAATTATATTAGTACATCGTGTGGTGGAGAGAGGGTTTGATATGAGTGGACAAAAAAATATGGATTATGGTGTGCCCAGGGTTAGAAACAAATATCAAATAGCAACCAAATAAGAAAACAACGAGATTTACGTGGTTCGGCAAATTGCCTACGTCCACGGGCAGAGGAAAAAATTACAAAAGAATATCTCTCTCTCTTCTTCCACTCTTTGCTAAGACTTGATTGCACTTCACTTGCTTTCTTTTTGCTCCCTCTTTGCATTTCTATTTATACACATTTTTTGGGACAAATTGAAAATTTTGCCATGGCAACTTGTTTGCAAGTTGTTGTTGCAGAATATCAATACAATGAATTTTGCAAGGTTCTAGAATTGCAACTTGCCAACTTAGAAATCAAGTCTTAGTTTGTGTGAAGCCTTCGGAAGCTTAGAAATCGCTGTGTTTTGGGCATTTCTAAATGTCTGTCATTGCTTGTGGTGGAGTTAGACGAGGTGTAATGGCTGAAGGTACAACACTGAAGGCAGCTGAGTCTTTAAGAAGCTCTGGGCGAAGGACTATCGTGTCCAACACAAAGTTGGATGGAGAATTCTCGCCAATGTGGAGATTTGTTGTATTGAGTTGACTCATTGAGTCAACTCATTTGGTGGCTCATTGAGTTAACTCGTTAGGTTTGCTCAGATTCTAGAAGACTTGCAAGTTAGCAAGTTACAATTCTGAAGATTCTAGAAGACTTGCAAGCAAGGTTCTGAAAAGCGGTTGCGGTTGCCGTAACGGTGGCGGTGACGCGGTTGCGGTTGCGGGGTGTAAAGGCCGTAGTGTAACGGTTGCGGTAACCGGAACCGTGAATTTTTTTATTTTTCGCACAATCATTGCACAGATATTATGCAGCAGCAACTTGCAAACAAGTTGCCATGGCAAAATTCCCAACTTGTTCCAAAAAATATGTGTATAAATAGGGATGCAAGGAGAGAGCAAAGAGAAAGCAAGTGAAGTGCAATCAAGTCTTAACAAAGAGTGGAAAAAGAGAGTGAGAGGTGAGGTTGAGACTGAGATATTTTTCTTGTAATTTTTTCCTTGAGTTTAGTGAAATCCACTGCCTATGGACGTAGGTGATTTGACGAACTACGTAAATCTTGTTGTTTTCTTATTTGGTGTTTGTTTTTGGCCCAAGGCACAACATAAAGATCCCATCTGATTAAATTAAGTTTGTAGTTGTTTGGGTAGGGAGATAATGTGTCGCGGGGATCAAGATAGATAGAGTTGCATTGTGATCTCTCTTCGAAATAATTTAGCTATGTTGACATTACATACGCTTGCATTTTTAGGAGTGGAAACGTTGGTGTGTGATTGTCGTGCACTTGTGATAGCCGCTATGGTTTGAGCTGTCATGAGTGTTTATGTGAGGGTATATTATGAATGCCAAAATCATAGTGAGGGTCACATTTTGTGATGGTCACATGAAATCATTTCTCCCATTTGAGGTTTCTATGGGACACATGCAAGTTCCATTGACATTTTGAAATCAATACAACAGTGGTCTACATGCAACTGGCTATGTCAGTTTGCTTTACTGCAACTAATGTTATATTAATATTTTTACATTATATCACTCGCCCACTGTTCACTGTGCAGTTTCTCTACAGGGGACTTTCCAATTTCCGAACACTTAGAATTCTCTAAAATATTTTCCTTTACTGAGGATATGAGTTCAAGTTTCAGCTCAGTTTGGTTACGTTTCCCAAATTATCCTTCACTGACATTTGAATCTTTTGATTATCTTAAGGTTGATTTAGTAATTTTGGTTTTTAACTTTTCATTGTTAAAATCTGTGTTTTCTTTTCTTTTTTTTTCTCAAGATTCCTAGGGAAATACTTTTTCCTAACTCGAACATGTTGGGCAGTGGTGTGTGAGGTGTAGCCGCTGTTTACCCATTCGCTTGTCGGTGTTTATTATTTGATCAAACACGGAGAAAAAAGAGTTCAAATCTTTGGATTCCCTCTTTTATAATGTTTTGTTAAGGCTCAAAAAAAGTTTCTTTAGGTAGCAAAGCGTTGTGGGGTTTATATTGCTAATGACCGCTCAACTGGTGGTCATTAGTCTCAATTTACATGTAAAAAATATATAAAATTGTGTGAACAAAAATAATAGAATGTGTGAAAGTGTTTGGGAATGTTTGGAAAATTCATTAAAATTCTAAACATTTTGGCATTTTCTTTACCTTAACAACCCCCCGATTGTCTTTGGCATGACCCTTTGTTAAATGGGGCATGATCTGTCCCTATTTTTTATGTGCTCCTATCTCAACACTCTTCTCACCACATGATATGCTAACTTTTAATTAAAAATTAATTATGTTGGCACATCATGTGATGGGGAGAGGGTTTGGTACAAGAGGACGATAGGAAAGATGGAGACAAAGGATCTCACTTCATGAAATTGAGGGTGTAATTGTTTGGGTAGAAAGATAATGTGTTGTCGGGATATCAGAGTTGACACTGTAATCTCCCAGCGAAATAACAATAACTTAGCAAGTTGTCGAAGCAATTACCATGCTGACACTATAAGTGTGAAAATTTTGAGGGCAGAAATTTTCTTGTGTGATCGTTGCGACAGTCATTATGGTTTGAGCAGTCGTGGGTGTTTATGTGAGGATATACCATCCATGAATGTTAAAATCATAGTTTCTATCACATCGTATAACAGTCACATTAAATAATTTCTCCCATTTGAGGGTGTTGTCAAAATTTGTTGAGCACATGGGTCATACTTTCATGCGATTGTTTTCATGATTTGAGTGTTCTATGGGATGGATGTGAGTTCCATTGTCAATTTCAAATTAGGGTGGCATACAATGGTTATATATTATAGGGTTTTTTCCGCATTGGAAGGAGTGGGGAGCACAAGTTATGATTCATTATTTTGATGAGTAAGGGAACAAATCCAGTCATTGTTATGGCAACTAGTTTAGGACTGATGCTGGTTGTATAGGTGATAAGATATTTCCAGGCAATAGGTCTATCAACCATCTTTTATATCATTTTTTCCTTTTTCCTGTTAGAACCCTTGCACATTTCTTACATTGGTGCTGTTTGGTGTAACTATTAAAACAGATTATAGATTATAACTTAAGTTAACAGATTATAGATTATGATTTTAATCAGAAGTGGTATAACTGCTGGATTATAGATTTAAGTTGCTGAGTAGTGTTTGTTAAATAAGCTGTGAAGTAGCTTTTTCAATTAATTTTTATTTTTTATTATTCACTATTTGTCTCTATTTTTCATAAAAAATAATAATAATATTTTATAGTCCATTTGGGTCTTTTTCTATTTTTTAAAAAATAAAAAATAAAAAAAATCTAAGAGTATAACCGTGAATTAACATGTCCACAGCAGAAGCTAATAATCAGAAGCATGGGGTGAGCTGCTTCTCAGAATCAGTTTTTTTGACTTAAAATAAGTTGTTAGAATCAGAAACTGTTTGAAATAAGTTTAACCAAACAGTCCAAAACAACTTTTTAAAAGTCAGAAGCCATAAGTTGGTTCAAAAAAGCCCCACCAAACACCCCCATTGTACATTGACAATAGATGTTTTACAATCCATGATAAATTCATTGTGGGATGCCATGCCACAAATGCTGAACTCAAAATTAGTGGTTTAATAGGGAAAGTTCAAACTCAGCCTACTAACCTTGAGGTTGTAGGCTCGAACCTGAGGCAGCCACTTTGTGCAAATTGTGCAAATGGTTTAGTCTGTACCCAATTTACCTTTCTAAGATCTCTATCAAATGGGGATTCAATTGGGCGTAGCTTGGGAACAAAAAAGTTAGACATGTCTCAGATTAGTGCAATATGGATGGGAACAATCATTTGATGAATTCACTTGCAAACATTAATGCGTACGGAAAAGTCCATGTATTAGACTAATCTCTCCATCTTGTTGGAATCTAATCAAAATGTGGAACTTGTATGGTCAAAATGATCAATCATTACTTCTTTTTAATATTCTTGAATATTTAGAGAGGGACTGGCGGGCCCCAATTATATTTGTTATCTTGATGTGATAGAATTTTTGAGAATTGGACTTAAAACAAAAAATTCTATCAAGTGACCAAACATAGGGAGCCAACAAGAAGGCTAAATTCCACGATGTCCAAACAAGGGATTTCAGTCATTGGAGATGATACGGATCCTAGTTACCAGCGTGGGACCATCATTTTTTTTACAAAAATTTTGATTTTATATTTGGTCTTGATAGAATCATCAAATTCAACACTTTGATTCTAAATTTTAATGTTGCCTTGTGAAATTTGCTTTGATGGATTGGGGTCAGGAACCCAAAGCTAAATAGACATACTCATAAAGCTAAAACTTAAAAAAAAAAAACAACGTATTCAGTAGGGAAAACCTTCTCATGATAATATATAATGCGTCTGTTGTTTGTCTGTTTTGCAATGCAATAACGAGTCGTGCTTGTGTTTCTACCCAACTAATTAAAGAGTAGTGTGATACTTTTTAACTGTATTGAGTTCTGTAATTTCCATTCATTATTCAATGGAGATGAAAGTTTTGCTACTTCATTTTCATTTTCAGTCAAAAACAGCTGAAGTTTAAACTGCCCAGCTATATTACACAACCTTTTGTTACATTTGAATTTTTTTCTTTTCTTTGTGCTAATATCTTTGTTCGTCTATAGGGATACAAGCCTGTGGAACACATGGAAATAATGGGTGGGTCAGCATCAGCAAGCCCATGCTCATCATATCAACCTAGTCCATGTGCATCCTACAATCCAAGCCCCACTCCATCTTCATTTCCTAGCCCAATCTCATCGCCTTATGCTGCGAATGCCATTAGCAATGGTGACGCTAACTCCCTCATCCCATGGCTCAAAAACCTCTCATCAGGAGGCTCATCCAAGCTCCCTCACCATCTCTACATCCATGGAAGTTCTATAAGTGCTCCGGTCACCCCACCATTGAGCTCCCCTACAGCTCGGACTCCACGAATGAATGATAATTGGGATGATCGAACCGCTAGTGCTCCCTGGGCTGCGCAGCACCAGACATTTTTACCCTCTTCTACCCCACAAAGTCCTGGTTATCAAACCCCGCCTGACTCAGGTTGGCTCTCTGGTGTTCAAACTCCCCAAGATGGACCATCATCTCCTACATTTAGCCTTGTCGCATCAAACCCATTTGGCTTCAAGGAGGCATTTTTAGGTGGAGGGTCTCGAATGTGGACTCCTGGGCAAAGTGGAACATGCTCTCCAGCAATTGCAGCAGGGTGTGATCAAACCTCGGATGTTCCAATGTCAGATGGGATTGCAGCTGAGTTTGCATTTGGTAGTAACACAAAGGGGTTGGTGAAGGCATGGGAAGGAGAGAGAATTCACGAGGAATGTCTTGGTGACGACCTTGAGCTTACACTTGGCAATTCTACAACTAGGTAAGCTGGTTTACATTCATAGTTGATTGAATTGCAGCATGGTCTTTTTAGTAATGATATTTTTTGGCATTGCAGATAGGAAGATCTGAAAAGAGAAAGGAGAGAGAAAAATATAGTTGTATTCCACTGGTTTATACCTTTCTTTGTGAAAATCAACCAGTCACTATTTATCATGTTGATCAGTCTGAGTTCGAGGTATTCTGCTTGGCAGATGAGGAGAATTCAAAATATAGAGAATTGTATCAGTTTTTCTTTCTTTTTCTTTGTTCTTTGTTAGTTTTTATTATTATTAGTTCTTTTTTTTTTTGGGTGGGGGATTAAATTGTTAATTAAACTATAAATAGTTCATGTGGTGATTTTTGCACCTTTTTTTGGGTGGGGATTCTTTTTTCTTTTCCTTTTAAATTCTTCATTTATTTTCATTTTTCCCATCAAGAATTTTCATTACAGCACTGTTAATCTAGTTGATTGTTATATGTGATATTTTTTTTCTTGTAATTGAAATTGATTTTGGGATGTTAAGATTAACCTATTAGTGATTGTGTTCTTAGTCTTACCTCCATACTATCTCTTCTTTTGTTTCTATTCAGGGGTGCACACGCACGTGCACGTTAAGTAATGTAGAGAAGCTATAGTATTCTCTCTCGGACCCTGATGACTTTGTATGTTATTGACAATTGAACATAGTGACAAATGTGTTTCTTTGCTTAAACGCATTAAAAGTGCAATTTGGTGCGGTTTGTTTGATTAGTTGATTTTTTACAAATTTGTTTAATTGTTAAATGCAATTCTCAGTAGGCCTTGTATTAAAAATAGATCTAAATTAGAGAGCTCTTGGAGGGTGGTAGTTTTAAAAACCATAAAATAAAATAAAATAATATGAAAGAACAAATAACTCATGCATGCTTCACGTGTTCATTTTTTTATACTGTGTTTGGTCGGGAGATTTAAAGAGAGATTTGAAAAGGAAAAAGGAAAAAGGAAAAAGTGTGTAAAATTAATTGAAATATAAGTATGTTTTTTCTACATTTGACGTATCTTTTCTATTTTTTTTTTCAAATCTCTCCTGAAATCTCTCAACCAAACACAATATTAGTAACAACATTAGTAAACTTTTTCATGATAGTTTCATGTGTTTTTCACTTTATAACTCAAATTGCAAATGGAAATTTTGAGCAGACTTGACAAAAGTGATAGTTGCATTCAAATATTTTTTAATAATTTTCTCGCCAATTGTTTTTTATATTATTAAATCAATTTTCAATGGATTCAAACAATAAATGAGACGTTGGAGGAGATTAAAGTATGTTTAAGTATATATTGACAATAATGTTTGGTCGAAGTGAAATAACCAATCAAACTTTCAATGTTGTTTACGACTAAACAATTTTTTTGGTTATTAACTATTTGGTTGGTAAAAGTTTTTTTTATTACTAAATTTTTAATCACAAAAAATGTTTACTCACGTTTTTTTTGCTGCCAAATACTTAGTCGCTAAAAATTTCAATCTTTTTTTTTGATTACTAACGTTTAGTATCCCCACCCAAAAAAACACTTCCTGAAATAATGATTGGGCTTCATCCAAATTTCACTCCAACAAAGGTTGGGATAAATCTAGGGCCAAACTCCTAGATCAGCCCACCAACAAAATGCAAAAGTAAAACCCCATCAATTTGGGGGCGTTTTCGTAATTTAAACCCTGACAAATTATCTAATCCTCCAGTTTCACAACCTCTTCTGGATGACTTTTTGGCTAATTACGAAAAGATGTGCAAAAAGTAGAGAGAAACGAGAATTTTTGACTTTTTGGTATGAATTGTTGACTTTTTGACTAATTTAGTACCTTTTTGACTAATTGACTAAAATAGCCTCTTGCCAAACGAGGCCTTAGTATACCCACCCAAAAAAACACTTCCTGAAATAATGATTGGGCTTCATCCAAATTTCACTCCAACAAAGGTTGGGACAAATCTAGGGCCAAACTCCTAGATCAGCCCACCAACAAAATGCAAAAGTAAAACCCCATCAATTTGGGGGCGTTTTCGTAATTTAAACCCTGACAAATTATCTAATCCTCCAGTTTCACAACCTCTTCTTCATCTCCCCATATCATCTCTTTTGAAGCAAAGAAATGGCTCTAACACTATCCAACACATTCATCCACAGAAACCTCCCTCCTCTTCCATCTCTCTCCTCCACCAACAAGCTGACCACCACAGTGGGACAACAACCCAATCGTCCGCAGTGGAGCTGCAGGAAGAAAGACATACACCCTCAATTCTACGAGGATTCCAAGGTCTACTGCAATGGTGAACTCGTGATGACCACTGGTGGGACTCAGAAGGAGTACGTCGTCGACGTCTGGTCCGGAAACCACCCGTTTTACCTCGGAAACCGATCTCAGCTGCTCGTCGACGCTGATCAGGTCGAGAAGTTCCGAAAGAAGTACGGGGAGATCACCCAGATCATGCAGATTCCTGATCTCAAGGGCGAGATCATTCTTCCTCCCAAACGCAAGTCTGGATCTGCCAAAGGCGGCAAGAAGAAGTAGTTTCCAATTGTAGAATCTGATTAAAGTTTTGGTATTTTTTTTTTCCCTTTCTTTCTCGCTCTCTATGTAATTTTTTATGTTTCCGCTAATTTTGTTGTGAAATTATGCTTGCTTTTGTTGATTGAGATATGTTTGGTTTGTTAGATCATTTTTTCCATATAATTTGATTCCAAATTTGAGTAAAAAGTTTGATTTGATATAAAAATTTCATCAAAATCTTTTTTAAAATTCCTCTCTTATTCCAAATTTTCTTTTTTCATCAATTTTTTTTTTTTTTTGGGGGGGGGGGGGTTTAAGAAATTGCTGTTATCATGTCCAATACGTCATCTTTCTAAGTTTTCATCAAATTCAAATTTGATGAGTTCTCAATTTGATGATTTGATGAACATTAGATGAAAGGATTGGAGATGCTCATTGAGGCTCAATTTGGAGTTTTTGATATCAATTCGTCTGATAAATAGGCATTTTGTGGTTTTGAATTGCAGCAATTGTGACGGCTAACCCTGCATTGGCATACATTAAACACCTTTTATAACAGGGGAGAAAAAATTGTGTTCATGTTAAGGCTGTAAACGATCGGAGTAGTATGGTGTTCAAAATTGACTTCAATTTTTAAAAAGTTTCAAAATGTGTTTTAAGTTTGATATGTTTATCTTTTGAGTCAATCTAGCTTTAGTCGAGCTGTAACTTGCTTTATTTATTTATTTTTGTTTATTTTTTATGTTGTATCAAGTAATCAAATCGAAGTAATAGTTGGTTGTTCACGTTTGAGTTGAAAGTTTAACGAGATTTAAAATATGTTTGAGTTTGACTAATGAGGCAATCTCAAACAAACTTTTACCAAGATGAATATAATCAAGTCGATCATGAGTCATGTTTGACTAGTTTGATTGGTTTTACAATCTTAACTATACCTGCAATGCAGGGCAACTTCAATCTAGTGATAGCAATTTGATTGATCATTATTTATTTTTGCTTGACTGGTAACTATGACACTGTGTTCTGCCAATATTTGCTATTGTCTAGGAAATTTCCCTTATGTTTGGTTGCAGAGAAAATTTTGAATCATTGGTTTTTGTTTATTGGAGACCTGAAAACCGCAAAACAACCTCTCAGTGAATGAGAGGGTGGAGGAAATCAGGGATCTTCAATCTTGGAGATGGACAATTTTTAATTAAGTTGATATGATTACTATATCCATGTTGAGTTTGCTCCATTCTCAGAGATATAGGTAGAACAATTTGAGTAAAATTATTTATTTTATTTTTTACGGAGGATCCTATTAGATGATGATGTGTATGACCAATATCATGAGTCATGTCGGCCATATTTTGCACCCATGTCGTGTCGTGTTGACACGGGTACCTCTTCAAAAATAAAGAGTCCGTGTAACGTATTGTGACCCTATTAAATGGAGCACGGTCTGTTCCTATTTTTCATGTGCTCCTATCTCAAACACCCTCTTTATTACATGATGTACCACATTTTAATTAAATAATTAATTATCTTAGTACGTCGTGTGGTGAAGAGAGAGTTTGAGATGGGTTGACAAAAAATGTGGATTAAGGTGTGCCCAGGGCTAGAAACAAACAACAAACAAGAAAATAATAAGATTTACGTGGTTCGGCAAATCACTTACTTCCACGGGCAGAGAAAAAAATTACAAAAGAAATATCTCACTCTCTTCTTCCACTCTTTGCTAAGATTGGATTGCACTTCACTTGCTTTCTCTTTGCTCTCTCATTGCATCCCTGTTTATACACATAATTTTTGGGACAAATTGAGAATTTTGCCATGGCAACTTGCTTGCAAGTTGTTGTTGTAGGATATCAGTGCAATGAACTTTACAAGCTTGTAGATCTGCAACTTGTCAACTTAGAAATCAAGTCTTAGTTTGTGTGAAGGCTTCGGGAGCTTAGAGATTGCCGTGTTTTGAGCATTTCCAAGTGTCCGTCATTGCTTGTAGTGGAGTTAGAGGAGGTTTAATGGATGAAGGTATAGCACCAAAGGCAGCCGAGTCTTCAAGCAGCTCTAGGTGAAGGATTATCGTATCCAACGCAAAGTTAGATGCGGAATCCTTGCCAAGGTGGAGATTTGTTGTATTGATTTGACTCATTGGATTGACTCAGATTCTAGAAGACTTGTAAATTGGCAAGTTGCAATTCTAGAAACTTCCAAAGTTTATTGCACAGATGTTCTACAGTAGCAACTTGCAAGCAAATTGCCATGGCATAATTTCCAACTTGTCCCTAAAAATGTGTATAAATAGAGATGCAAGAAGGGAGCAAAGAGAAAGCAAGTAAAGTGCAATCAAGTCTTAGCAAAGAGTGGAAGGAGAGAGTGAGAGATGTGAGGTATTTCTCTTGTAATTTTTTCCTCAAGTTTAGTGAAATCCATTACTTGCGAATGTAGGCGATTTACCGAATCACATAAGTCTTCTTGTTTTCTTGTTTGGTATTTGTTTCTGGCATTGGGCACAACATCCCATTAAGTTTGTAGTTGTTTGGGTAGGAAGACAACGTGTCGCAGGATCAAGATAGATAGAGTTGCATTGTGATCTCTCTTTGAAATAATTTAACTATGTTGACGTCACATGTGCTCGCATTTTTAGGAGTGGAAAAATTGGTGTGCGATTGTCACACACCTGTGATAGCCACTATGGTTTGAGCAGTCATGAGTGTTTATGTAAGGGTATATTATGAATGCCAAAATCGTAGTGAGTCACATTTTGTGATGGTCACATGAAATCATTTCTCCCATTTGAGGGTTAATGATTTGAGGTTTCTATAGGACACATGCAAGTTCCATTGACATTTTGAAATCAATACAACAGTGGTCTACATGCAACTGGTTATATCAGTTTGCTTTACTGCAACAAATGCTATATTAATATTTTTACATTATGTCACTCCCTAACTGTTCACTGTGCAGTTTCTTTTCAGGGGACTTTCCAATTTCCGAACACTTAGAATTCTCTAAAATATTTTCCTTTACTGAGGATATGAGTTCAAGTTTCATCTCTGTTTGGTTACATTTCCCAAATTACCCTCGACCAACATTTGAATCTTCTGATTATCTTGAGGTTGATTTAGTAATTTTGGTTTTTGACTTTTCATTGTTAAAATCAGGATTTTCTTTTCTCTCTCTCTCTTTATATATTATTTTTTTCCCTAGGAAAATACTGTTTCCTGACTTGAACATGTTGGGCAATGGTATGTGAGGTGTAGCCGTTGTTTACCCATTTGCTTGTCCGTGTTTATTATTTGATCAAATACAGAGAAAAAATAGTTCAAATCTTTGGAACTCTATTATAATGTTTTGTTTAGGCTAAAAAAAAGTTTATTTAGGTAGCAAAGCGTTGTGGGGTTTCTATTGCCAATGACTATAGTTCTAGATCGCGGTATTGGGTAATGTAATGGTATCAATCGCAGAGTATCGGTATCAGTAGTATTGACTGATGTGTATCGGAAATCGGGTGTCGCGGCCGTAAAATTTCAAAAATCATTAGCAATCCTTCTAAAACTTAATTTTATGCATTTTTTTTTTGGACTCTTTTAGGCTTAATTTATCACATTTTAATCAAAATTTTGATATGTTGGGGCACTTCTGACTCGTTTTTAACTAAATGATATGTATTTATTTTAGTCTCAAGCTTTTAATTGGCATATATGTTAAACTTTTTATAAAAAAAATTGATGTGGAAATATTTTTGTACTTAGTTTCAAGTCTTAATTTATTGGTTTTAATAGGTCCATGAACAATGAGTCTAATAAATCAACTTAAAGGAATGAAGAAGTGAAATAAGTATGAAACATACTCTATAGGTACATAGTTGAGAAGAAGAATAAATATATATATATATATGAAGAAAAATAAATAAATAAATAAATAAATAAATAAATAAATATATATATATATATATATTAATATTGGAACAATTATAAATATATATACTAATATATCTCCCATTCCATTACTCTACCATAATATAGAATAATATTAGGGATCATGAAAAAAATATCATAAAATACTTCATGAAGATTTTTTTGTTATTTGATTAGTGTGTGTGGTATTTTCTTGTATTTGTAATTTAACGGTGGAGAATTTTTTATGATCATTTTAATGATATTTTTTTCATGATACCTAACATTATAACCACAAAATGCAGAAAAGTGACTTAAATAGCAACTACGAAACAGAAAAAAGAAAAAAAGAAAAAAAAAAAATATATATATATATAAATATATAAACAGAACAACAACAACAAGAAAATAAAGCATGACAACAAACCTTCTTTGAAGAAGCTTGAAAGCGATGCCACTGGGAGATGTGTTTGGGTTTAATTCAATGCTTCTCCCTGCAACACTTTACAAGATCGATGCCACTGGGAGATGGATTTGGGTTTGATTGACGATTTGGGTTTGGTTCGATTGAGGGTTTTTGTTTATAGGTTGTTGTCTTCTCAAGTTGAAGATTGAAGTGAACTCCACCACACAGCCCAAAGAAAGAAGCTTAGATCTATGGAGCCAAGCTTTTGAAGGAGGTTCTCTATTTGCAGGTGCTCTACTCCATTGTCATTTGTACCGAACGATTATTTTTGCTTTTGCAGGAGGTTTTCTTCTCCAATTTCAGCTGTACCGGCAATGGCAAACATGTATCGGAACTGTATCGCTCACATATTGGATTTAGGTCGATACGCATCGGGAATCAGCCGCTATGGCTGTGAATTTCATTCTCACTGGTATACCGGCCCATATCCGAATCGGCACTCCAATTTTCTGGTACGAACCGGCTGGTACGGTACGTTCCAGCCGATATTTAGAACTATGCTAATGACCGCTTAAGTGTTGGTCATTAGTCTCAATTTACTTGTAAAAAATATATAAAAATGTGTGAACAAAAATGTATAGAAATGTGTGAAAGTGTTTGGAAATTTCATTAAAATTCTAAATATTTTGGCATTTTCTTACCTTAACAACCCTCGATTGTCTTTTTTTTTTTTTTTTAATTTTTTGATCAACAATGAAGAACACTTTATTGATGAAATAGAACCTTACAAGGAAGGAAGAAGACATCAACAAAGAGGGAGAGAGGGGAAATGATGCAAAGGCCATCAAAGTGAGACAGCCCAATCCCAATTAAG